GAACTGTCTCTATAAAGTGACCTGAGATGACGTGTTTTGAATTGGTGCTATAGAAATGAACTGAACTGTAACTGAACAGATCTTCTATATCTACTGTATTCCCATGGCAGCCATGTTTGTTCTCCTTTGGTGACGATATAATGCAAACAGCAGGAACCTGATGAAAACCCCCTGCTCTCTTAGCTGTGAGGTTAAATGTGTGAAGAGAGAACCAAACAACTAAACCGATGAGCACTATCAACTTATCATTATTTTTCATTTATGTTGATCAAGTATTTGCTAATCAATTAAAGGTTGAATGTCAGCGGATCACGGGAACAACCTCACCTTTAGCTGACAGGTTAGGACATGCAGTGATGTTCATAAAACACCTCATGGTTTTATCAGATTATGTTCTGTTTAAGCAGTAAAGGAAGAGTTTGGCAGAAAGGAACAGAGAGAGAATTAATTCAGAGTCCTCCATTGCATAGAGTGATAAACTGAACACAGTTGGAAGGAAGAAGCATTTCAGCATTCCTCTTCTTCTAAAAGAACCTGCTGCTCTGACTATAAATACATTGAACATTGGATCGTAGCTGTCTGTGAATGACAGCGGCTGCAACCAAACAACCAAGTGCTGTGAGAGTTGTTTTTAGGTTGCTCCATGGTCTTGCTCCATCTTATCATTCTGAGTTGCTGCACCTTCAGAGACCCGCCTGTTCAAACAGGTCAGCCAATCAGCTGCTTCCTGAGGTGCCTAAAACTAAACGGAAGCTTAAGGGGAATCGTGCTTTCTATGTGACATCTCCGAAAATGTGGAACGACCTTCCAATGAGGATTACAAAATCTACCTCTCTGCATGCAATGGAAAAAACAACAACAAAATCTAAATAAGTCCTTTTTTCTAAATTTAATTTAAGTTTCTTAAATTAAATTAACACTTTGCCAAAGGAACAAGACGATTCACATTTAAAATAAGAAAAAAACATTTGCATTGCCTTCTTTTAAGTGCATATTATCTAATTATCGTATTTTAAGAGTAGATATCCTCATTCCATTTGCAGATCTTCTTATTTACTCACTCAAATTAAAGGCAAATGCACTTAATTTAAGAAATGTTGACTAGAAAGAATATTTTGGTACAAAGATTTATGTTTAAAAGGGAATTGAAATCTAAATAAGTAATTTTTGCTCAAATTAAGTGCATTTTTTTTTTAATTGAGGAGGTAAGTGAGACACTTTGCCAATGAAATATGGAGGACCAACTCTGCCATATTTAAAAATAAATACATAATTAAATAAATGCTCAATAAATATATAAGCATACAATTAATTGCTAAAAAAATACAATAAATGTAAGTAGAAATTAAATTATACAGTGAGACATAAATGTATATAACTTTTAATTAGCTTCTTTATTTATTTGCCTTTGTAATATTTACCTTATTTATTTTTT